GACCTCTTCCTGCTATCTTTCCCTCAAAAGTCACAGAAATTTATAATTATTTTCGTCAAAAAACTTCTTTTGATCAAGGTTATAGACTAATCTCCTTCATCGCCACCCAGTCCATAACTTGGATTGTAGCATGGGACTTTACCATTGAACAGATGTATGAAAATGCTGATATAAAGGTATTGTCACGACAATTACAAATTAAATGGTGGAAAAAGTTCAACTTGGATATTATTAATAAACAAAGAATCGATATATGGCAAGCCAACTACCAACAGAGACAAGAAGGAACTTCTTCATCCTTAACTCAAGAGTCATTATTCTTAGCTGAAAAACAAAGGTTGATGGCAGAGTTAGCCTCCGCATCAAGCCTAGAAGAAATGGAGAAATTAATAAAAGAAAAGTCAATATCAAAAACCCCATCTGAAGACAGCAGTGAATATTCACAAGCCTTCAATATGTTCGATTGAGACAACTGGCAAAAGATAAATGTGTCAAAGACAAGAATCATAAAAGCATATTTGAAAAGATAAAAAGAAGAGCATGAAAAGGACATAAAGAAAAGGAAGACAAAAGCAAAGAAGATAAAGATTTCGATAAGATTCTCTGAAGATAAGGGATAATGATGTAAATAGTATAAGGGTAGTATGGGATAATGATGTAAATAGTATAAGGGTAGTTTTGTAAATTATGTATTGTCTAGAATTATGTAATCGCTCTATAAATAGCCTCTTTAGTTAGTATCAAGGCAGAGCGAATTTGAGTGTTTTCTTATAATCTTTGTATCGACGTTTTCTTAATGAAGTTTTTAACTTTCTTCTATGTAAGTCTTCTTAATCTTTCAGTCTTCATATTTTCGCTTCCATTAATTTTTTCATAATTTTTGTATTTTTTGCATATCCTATAACGATTTTTGCATATCCTATAACGATCCTGTCAAGATTGGCTGATACCAATCTTGACAGGATCGTTATAGGATATGCAAAAATCGTTATAGGATATGCAAAAAATACAAAAATTATGAAAAAATTAATGGAAGCGAAAATATGAAGACTGAAAGATTAAGAAGACTTACATAGAAGAAATTTGAAAACTTCATTAAGAAAACGTCGATACAAAGATTATAAGAAAACACTCAAATTCGCTCTGCCTTGATACTAACTAAAGAGGCTATTTATAGAGCGATTACATAATTCTAGACAATACATAATTTACAAAACTACCCTTATACTATTTACATCATTATCCCATACTACCCTTATACTATTTACATCATTATCCCTTATTTTCAGAGAATCTTATCGAAATCTTTATCTTCTTTGCTTTTGTCTTCCTTTTCTTTATGTCCTTTTCATGCTCTTCTTTTATAATAATAATAATAATAATAATAATAATAATAATAATAATAATAATAAAAGATAGATATAAAGACACTACTATAAACATATATGATGGTGAAGTTGTTATTGTTTATGATGATGAATCTATTATTCTCATTTGTTAAGAGTATGAATGAGTTGTGAATATGTTATTCTCATTTGTCATGAGTATGAATGAGTTGTAGATTCTGCCGTCTCATTTCCTGTTATACCTCATCATGAATATTTCACATCTTATATCCCTGGAGATTTTAAGCATGGAAAAATGAGAAATCAAGGGGTAAGCAAGATTGTTGACATTGGAAATATTTAGATAAAGACTAATATCATATGCAAGTTGCATTTGAAGAATGTCAACTGCATTCTTAATATACACCTCAGTTTGATCTCAGTACATGTATTTGATGAAGATGGTTATCATAATTATTATGATGATGAAAAATAGAAGTGCACTAAAGGAACATTGGTGGTAGCAAAAGGAGAGAAGCAAAATACTCTATATTGGACATCAGCAAAATTATCTACACCTCAAGTAAATGTAATTGAAGATTGTTCTACAGAATTATGGCATAAAAGACTTGGTCACTTGAGTGAGAAGGGTCAGTACTTTTGCAAGTCAAGGGTTACTTTCTTTTAAAAGTACATCTTTTGAAACTTGTGTTGATTATCCTATTGGCAAACAACATAGAATTTCTTTTTGTAGTTATCATCCATGTAGAAAACCACATATCTTAGTTCACACAGATGTTCACTTTATGAATGTTAAATCAATTAGTAGTTACACTTATTTTGTTACTTTTATTGACAACTATTATAGAAAGGTTTGGTCCTTTGTTTTGAAATTGAAATACCAAGTACTTGATGTGTTCAAGCATTTCCATGCAAGTGAAATAAGTTACTTTTATTGACAACTATTATAGAAAGGTTTGGTCCTTTGTTTTGAAATTGAAATACCAAGTACTTGATGTGTTCAAGCATTTCCATGCAAGTGTTGAAAGAAAAACAGGTAAGTTGTTGAAATGTGTTAGGGTAGATAATGGTTGTGAATTTAGATGTCCTTTTGAGAACTATTGTAAGGAACATAATATAAAGCTTGAGAAGACAATCTCAAAGGCACATCAGCATAATGGAGCTTTAGAGAGAATGAATTGCATAATTAATGATAGAATCAAGTGTATGTTCTCTCATGCAATGTTGCCTAAAGCCTTTTGGGGTGAGGTATTGAGAACTGCAGTGGACTTGATCAACCTATATTCATTCATTCCTCTTGATGGTGATATCCTTGAGAGTGTGAAAAGGGAAATATGTTTTTTATAATCATTTAAGGGTGTTTGGTTCAAGGCATTTGTCCATGTCCCTAAAAATAAAAGATCTAAGTTTGATGGAAAATCTAAACAATGTATTTTTCTGGGTTATGGTCATGATAATTTTGGTTACAGATTTTGCGATTCAATTAATAAGAAGATTGTTAGAAGTCAAAATATTATTTTTCTTAAATATCAGACCATTAAAGATATTGACAAGAAAGAAAAGTCAAAACATGTTGCTCCTGAGTGCATTGATGTTGAGCTTAAACCTCCTACAAGTGTTGTTAATCACGTGGAAGATGTGAATGCAGATCTGAAGAATGTAGGTAACATGCCTAAGAATTAAGTCAATGAACCAACTAAACCAGTTCATCCTGAACCTCTTATGGAGCCTCAGTTGAGAAGATTTACTAAAGATATTCATCATTCTAAAAAATATTCACCTCATGAGTTTGTGTCGTTAATTGATGGGGGGAGAGTCTGGAAGTTATAAAGAAGCTATGTTACATAAAAAGAAAAATAAGTCGTATAAATTCATGCAAGAAGAGATGAAATCCTTACATGATAATTAGACATTTAAGTTGGTGAAACTACCTCGAGGCAAGAACACTTAGAAATAAATGGGTGTTTAAACTAAAATCAGAGAAGAATAACTCAGCCAATATATAAAGCAAGGTTGGTAATGAATGGATTTAGTTAGAAGAAAGGTATTGATTTTGAAGAAATATTTTCACCTGTTATCAAAATGTCTTCAATTAGAGTTGGACTTGGTTTGACAACAAGTTCAAATTTAGAAGTTAAACAAACTTGATGTGTAAATAGTCTTCCTTCGTGGTGACTTGGAAGAAGAGATCTATATAGAGTAACCTAAAGGTTTTCCAGTCAAAGATAAAGGGAAACTTGTTTGCAAGCTAAGAAAGAGCTTGTATAGACTCAAACAAACTCCAAAGAAATGGTGTAGGAAGTTTGACTCTTTTATGATGGATCACGGATATGATAAAACCTCTTTTGATCATTGTGTTTTTGTTAAGAAATATTTTGACAAAAGATTTATTATTCTCTTGTTTGATGACATGTTGATTGTTGGTCATTATATAAGAAATTCAAAGCCTTAAAAGAGAATTGACCAAATCCTTTGCAATGAAGGATTTAGGTTCTGCTAGGACTTACAATGAAGGATTTGAATTTTGCTAAGCAAATATTTGACATGAAAATTGTTCGTGACTGGAAGAATGGAAAATTATAGTTATCACAACAAAAATATATTGAGAAGGTATTAGAGAGATTTAATATAGACAATTCTAAATCTGTCAACAAATCACTTGTAGTTCATTTGCAGTTGCTAGTTTAATGTATGTTATGGTGTGTATAAGGCTAAACATTTCTTATGTTGTTAGTTTTAGTTGTTTCTTTGCTAATCCAAGTAAAGAGCACCGACTAGTTCTGAAGTGAATACTTAGGTACCTCAAAGGTACTTGTTGAAAGTCCCACATCGCCTACCTCATATCATTTGGTATGATTTACATACATGTTAGACTACTCCACATATTGTCAATTAATTTTATGTTGGAACCTTAAAATGGTATCGAAACCAAAACTTAACATCTTTCCTGTTATTATCTTGGGTCAAGAGTTACACTTTCGTTGTGGATCAAAAATACCTTTTATTCAAAAACTTTTCAAGCAAAGAAGAGATACTTGCAAAAACAATCTTTAAGAGATATGTTAGTTTTAATTATTGAAATTAAAAAACAAATCATTATAACTTTTCAAATTTACTAAAATGTAATTTTAATTTTAAAATATAAATTTGAACAGATGAAAAATAATTATAAAAGAAATATTTTAACCCTTAAATTTAATGTTTAAGATTAAAAATGTATTTTTTTTTCAATGAGAAAGATTACAATAATTTTTTTAATTTTAAAATTGTAATTTTATAATCCTAAATGGTTATCATTTTTAATTTTGAAATGTTATGCATGGAATACATAAATGAAATTGTTTCTGCAAGCTTGATTATGATTTAAAGTTATTTGGGAATTACATCTCTGTCATTTGATCTTTAGCCACAAACACCAGTAGGAAATTCAGTAGCTTGGTAATATCATGATAGTCACTTGGTCATATATATAACTTTATGATACGTATAAAAGAATGAGTGGCTATAATTCTTAAAACTTTTACACTGGTTATTGAAGTCCCAGTAATATAGTGCCCCTAATGCATGGGACAACAAAAGCAGCATCCTAATTTGATTTTTGATACAAATATCAAGGAGTAGGAAGTTTATACACATTATGAAGCAAACCGTATCTTACACATTCTCTGGGGTTGATTGGTCAGAAGGTCTCACAAGGTGCTCTCTAATTTGACCTTCATGCTCCGTAGTGATCTCTGATTTGGAGGTTTTGTTACCAGCATACAGAACATAATGTTGAATAATGAAAATAATGTCAAAGAATACTGATACCTGCAGTTGAGTGTTACATAGAAAACAATGTCACAAAACCCTCAAGCATCAGCGTCTGACTGACCTAATAAAAAACATTATAACCAGGCACAAGCTCCATCCTAGATCTATGCAAAATGCAAAATTGGATTCTTCGGAACATAAATCAACTACTCAGTTTAAGTAGCAAGTAATCACTCTTAAATAAAAAAGAAATCGCTTTTTTAACCAGAAAATAATAGTATAACTTTAAGATTAAAATAATGATTAGAAAATAAATCAGTACTAGAACCACAATTGCATGCCAAATATGTGGAAAAATAAAATAAGAAACAATTATAATGTAACAAAGAAGTAAAATAATCCTCAAGAGAGTTTCCCATACCAGAGATAGCAACACTTTTCCTATGTTGCCGTAGAAGTTGACCCATGAATCTGGAAAGTTTGGGTTTAAAGTAAGTTCATGTGAAAATATGTAATTTAATGACAAAAAATAAAATATCACTGGCAGACGTGAGTAGATGACATACTTTGATCTACTGATTGAACAACCATCTGTCCATAGTTTGCTATTCCTCCAGAAAAATCAAGTAGAATGTTACCAATACTGAATCCATCAGTACTTTTTCTCAGGAAGTTCATAACTGCCTACATTCATAAGACATAATTATATGGGCTGCGAGAGATGTAAAAAAGTCTGGCCAGACTCTGCTAAAACAATGATGATATATAATTTCCTTTTATTTATTGTTAAAATAAACTCACAAACAAAAGAGACAAAATAAGGCCTACTTCATCGACGAACAATTCATTCAAGTTTTAAGAGTTTATTACATGTCTAGAACTAAATCAGTTATGTTTTCAACTTAAATGTAATGGACTAGGGCAGTATTATAGCTCACTCTTCCAAACCAATAATTCTTTTTACATGAAGTATATGTCTAAAGCCCGAATTTTGAACAATAACAATAGAAAACGGTGCTTCAACTAACACACTACAGAAATAATTCAAACCATTAAAGGATTACCATGAATAGAGAGAAAGAATTAAGTTCCAAATTTACTATCTTATCTGACTCCCTATATTTAAATTGGTTTTTCTCTCTGTAGCAGGAAGAAAGGCATCAAAAAAGAATATGGAAATAGGTTCATTGATATTTAGGAGCACATACAGTAAATAAGTTTCTGCTAAGAAATTTTATTTTGAAAAAATTATATGTCAATAACAATCTAAAGATAAAAAGAAGACGGATAAAATTGAAAAAAGATCCTAACCTGAGGAATGTACTTTATAACAGTCATAGTTACTTGAATTGTGCTGCAACATATCAATGTAAACAAAAAGTTAAAAGAAAATTAGTCACAAAGTTACTTGAATTGTGCTGCAACATGATATTTTCTATGAACACAGAACATGAACTGTAGCACTACAGGAAAGGTGGGACTGACGTAGTTCGTCATACAGAAGAAGACTCTATGCTGTGCCCTAACATCACACCATTAGCTGAGTTCATAGTGGTAAGAACCCCAACACATGAAAAATTAATTTTTTTTCTTCATCAAATTGGTCAGAAAATAATAAATAATAAAAGGTTCTCAAATGATTACTAATATTTTGAAGCTGGCTCACATAAGATCAATAATTTATCAGTGCTCTCAAATTAGAACTGAAATACATTCAGTCAAAGCTTCAAATTCATATGCACCTGCCTACCTATATAAAGAGTAAACAGAAAATATTTGACTAGATTAACCACATCATCTCCTAAGTTATTGATAAAAGAGAAATAAGCTTTCTCCTGTTGTGAAAATAGCATGCCAGTTCTAGATGAATTAGGATGGTTTCAAGTAAAACACTGAGAAAATTACCACATGGAAGCTTCATAATTAACTGATTAAGAATAAAGAATATCAAATCTCCAGAAGTAAAACAAATTAAATCTGGTATAAAACCAAAAGTATTACACCCATATATTCTATGGAATTAAATTGATGGCTCAAAAGGATGAAACAAAAGCAATTAACCACACAAACATAGACAACATACTTGAAAATGGAGATAAGCCAAAGCCAGGAATGATTTGACAAAGCAATAAAGAAACAAACTGCCGCAATAGTCCAAGCAACAGAGACAATTCCAATAGAAACTTTGGACACTTTCTGACTCCCGCGCTACAAAATCAATAACTAAGTTCAGCAAAATACCGAGAATTCAGTCCATAGAACAAAAACATTTCTCAACAAATATCATTCTTACTTCATAGATTACAATCTGGAACAACGTGATTGCCGTCAGTAGAACAGCATGGATCGAGAAAGCAACATCATTTGCAGCCACAGGTATCATCTGCAATAGGTGAAATCAAACAATATTAGCCCACTCAAAATGTTTATACTCATAAGAACAAACATTACTTCAACCCTCAAACAATTCCAAATCTCCAGTCATAAAATGAGTTTTTCCCAAAAATAAAAATAAAATAAAATAAAGAGTCCTTACAGTACCATGAAGAGCAATTATTATTTGTTTTCAATATATGAACCATTTTACACTTGTCAATCAATCAGGAATCATCATTTTGACTCTTAAGATAATTATTGTAAAATTCAATAAACTAACCCTACACGAAATTTTGTGATTCAAACATTGTATAGGTTTTGTTTGCATAAACTTCTCCATAATCACTTTTAGAAAAGAAAAAATAAATTCAATTTGTATATAAGTTATTTTGTAGGAACTATTTCATATTAGTTTCTCCAAAATCAAAATTTTAATTCATATCAGTTCATCTTGACTAGATTTTTTTTTTTTAATTTTCTTTTCTGGAAGTGTTAATAGAGAAATTTCTCCGAAGAAATCGAATCTCTTATATTTGGGCAAAAATCTGGATTTGCCTTTCAGCATGATATGACATGACATGAAGAGTTTAGCATACATGAAACGGTGTCGTTGTTATTTAATTGAGAAGTTAATTTGAGGAGGAACCTGTCCATAACCGTATTTCTCGAAGTATTGCTTCTGAATAGCAGAGCTAAAGTAGAGAGAAGCGTTGTATATGAGATACGAACTGTGCTTGGTCAGATTCAGCAGCACGAAATCAAAGTTGAGCCCAACCACACTAAATTAAAAATAATAAATAAAAATCATTAACCAAATATTGAAAGTTTAATTAAATATATTATGCTACCACAGAGGAGATAAGAGAAAAAGAAGATGGAACCTCTTCCTGCGGAAATTCAAGATGACTTGAGGGTAGAAACTGATGGACCAGGAAACGAAAGCGAACCAACCCAGAGCCTCATACGCAACTTCGAGTGGAAATGAATTCCAAGAGGCCATTTTTCTTCGCTCGCGCAACAACAATCAAGAACTGCGTAGCTCCGTTCCTTAAATATGAAAGACTATGATGCTGACGTAAACAATTGAATCTATTTTAAATATCTGAATTTCACCTACTCCATAAATTAATCGTTTTCAGCGTTCAAAGTATTCGATTCTTTACAGATTATTCATCTTCATATTTCAAAAGTTAATTAATTAATTTTAAAAATATATTTTTTTATTTTAATAATATTGTCAAGTATTTCTAAATATAATTTTTTTTTGTTAATTTTGTGAAGCATATTAAATCTTAAATTTAAGTATAAAAAACTAAAATTATTTATTATATAAATATTGTTTTCTGTTAATTTTGTAATTATACAGGATCATTATCAAATATTAAATTTAAATATAAAAACTGAATAACATTATATATTTTTAAAAATTAAAGAATTGAAAACAACAATTTAAAATATATATATTAAAAAAATTAAAAACTAAAAAACAAAATTTTCTTATATATGTTATTGTTTTTTTAATATATATAAATTCAAAAACATATAATTTTTTTATTTTATTTCCCACTCTTAAATCTCTTTTTTGTTGTCACTGTAGTTTTTTTTTTTTTTAATTTGAACCAGTACTCCAATTTAAGCTTAATAATCCTTTGGTAGATGGGACCTCTTGGAGTTCAAAGAGGGATTTAAAAAATAATTTTTTTATTAATATTATTTTATAAACAAATTAAAACTATTTTTATTATTTTTAATTAAAATATGATATATAATTAAAGAGTACTATCTTGATTATTCGTTTGATTTGTGTGTTATAGATAAAATTATAAATACATGTTAAACTATTTTTCAGTTTATTGCAATATATGAAGTATCAACATGTAGTAAATATTTTTATCAATGAATATTTATCAAATATATAATATTTAATAATATTTTTATCAACAATCGACAATAATGACTGTGGTCGAACACTCTAAATTAATTGTTTTAAATACATAAATAAATTTAAATTGTAAAGAATGGGGCAAATTTTTTGTTAGTTTGCTCAAAAATAATAAAATTCAGTGAAGATAAGTTTAAAAAATATAAACAAATATTTTAAAATTAAACTTTTTGTTGTTTTATGTACAAACTGAAACAAGTAGAATAAATCTTCTTGATATATATATATATATATATATATATATATATATATATATATATATATATATATATATGTATGTATGTATATAAAACAAATTTTAAGTTTTGGATTTCTATGATCCACACTGAATTTTTTTTTCTGATATTTTATCTATTAAGTTGTCTTTAACTATTTTAATACAAATTAGCTTCAAATATATTTATTTGTTTCTTCCATTTAATATTTTTTAAACTCAAAGGATTTCTTAGTTGGAATCAATGATTAATTTCTAAAAGTACTGAAAGTATTTAAAATTTTTATCTCTTTCTACATATTTTTTATGGATTCTATAATCGAACTCTTGACGTAAGGTTAAAAAATAAATTAGTAAGAGTGAAAATAAAATAGAAGTTAAGATATTTTCGTTTGAATTATTATATAAAAAAGTTACAAGGAAAAAAAAGTAATTTTTAATATAGTAATTATTTTTTTTTCAATTTTGTGAGATGGAGAATCGCAATTAAATAGAGTTTTTTTTAAATAATAGTATCATAATTTAAATAAAAAATAATTATTATAATTTATATATTTAAAAATAATAAAAATATAAGAAATAAAATATAATATATAAATAATACAAAAAGATATATTTAAAGAAAAATACATAAATAATATTTTTAAAAATAATTATACAAAAATTGGCATTTCTAGTTATATTAGATAATAAAAAAATACTTAAATAAAAAAAGAAAAACGTCCCATGTTACGTTATCCGATTAAAGCAACTATCAGATTTGATCATTTCAATGATTGTCTTTTAAAAAAAAATAAAAATAATTCACCTTATCGTGTGCGATTTGCAAAATCATTCTAATTTTTGTTCTTGGACGCCATTGCGGTCAGATTCATCGTCTCAACACATTTGTCAAGCGCGTGTATTCACTTGTTGGCTTTCCTATTGTTTTGTCCTTCATCATATAATTTTGTGTTTATTTTTATTTTTAGGTTTTACTTATTTATTTATTTATTTTGGTTTATATTATATTATTTTATCTTTAGTTATTACTATTAATTCTAGCGATGATAATATCATCATATGTCATTAACGCTCTGTTGTTTCCACTGATGTACTGTTCGCGAAGAGAGAAGCACGAGGATGATACACCTTTGATTGAACAAAAATACAACGAAATGAAAGCAAGGAAAAGCGGGAGAGAAGAGAACGAGGTTCTTCGCTGATGCACGAAGAAATGAGATGAAAGCCCCCTGGACAAATTGAAATGTCCAACTTACCCTCACTCTGCAAGATTCACTAGTGCGTGCATGCAAATTGAAATGTCCAACAACATTTCTAGTGTTGGCCTGGTCTCGTGCAGCCATCAATTCCTTCTCCAACTTTGCATTCTGCAATGAAAGTTTGGTAACTTCCCCAGCTAAGTTCTTCAACTCCACAGCAGCAGCAGAGGCCAGTTCTTTGTCATAAGATGCTTCTTCAGAGAGCTTCTGATTCTGCACATGCAACCCACTATTCTCTTCTGATAATTAAACTTGTTCGAGCTTCAGTTTTTCGTTTTCAATCTCGTGAATAGTGAAAAAAATGTCAGGCAATTTAATCAAACAAAAACTTTAAATTGGACCAAAAAAAAAAACTATTGCTGACACTAGTATATGCAAACATGTACTTCGTACAGAATCCTTAAAATTGATTTTAAATATTCGTTCATTTTATCAATTGTAACTAACAGACTCAAAGCAGTGAAAAAAATTTCGAATATAATCGATCATTTGAAAATTTAATCGATCATAATAAAGTCTGGATATTGATATATGATAGCGGTTCCACGTTAACCGCTATCTCGAGCAGTTTTAGAAAGCGGTTAAATGGACAACCGTTATCTCAAATACGTCTTAGATAGCGGTTAAATATACAACCGCTATCTAATCCTAAAAAGATTTTTTTATTTTGATAAGAAAGCAAAACTAACTAATATATATATATATATATATATATATATATATATATATATATATATATATTAAATATAAATTATTTTCAAGTTGATAATTATTATTCTAATTTACGCAAAAAAATATATATATATATATATAATTAATTTATAAGATTGGTTAACATTTATTTTAATTTATTCTAATTAATTATTCATATATGGGTCACTCATAACAAAATATTACAATATCAAATAAAGTAAAAAATTAAAAAAGTTTAATCACACAAATAAAAATTATATTTTACTACTTTCAACCATAATTCTAAATATATTATTAATCTAATAAATACATACTTCTTTTTAAAACTATATTTAAAACTATAAATTTTATATAAAACATTATAAAATTATATAGATATATTTTTTTAATTATATAATTATAATTTTTATAATATATAATTGAAAAATAATTTTTTTATTTTAATTTAATGTATATTTGAGAAATTAATCAATTATAATCTATTATTTGAAAAACTAATCAATTCTAATCAATTATTTAAAAAATTAATCGATTATAATTTATTATTTGAAAAAATTTCGAATATAATCGATCATTTTAAAATGTAATCGATCATAATAAGCTTGGACATCGATATATGATAGCGGTTCACGTTAATCGCTATCTTAACAGGTTTTAGATAGCGGTTAAATGGAGAACCGCTTATCTAAAATACGTTTTAGATAGCGGTTAAATATAGAACTGCTATCTAATCCTAAATACATTTTTTTGTATAAGAAAGCAAAACTAACTAATATATATATATATATATATATATATATATATATATATATATATATTCTAAAATATAATTTATTTTAATTACTATAATATAAAATATATATTCCAAAATATAACTTATTTTCATTTATATATATTATAGAAATAAAATAAAATTATATTTTAGAATATATATATATATATATATATATATTAAATATAAATTATTTTCAAGTTGATAATTATTATTCTAATTTATGCAAAAAAAAAATATATATATATATATATATATAATTAATTTATAAGATCGGTTAACATTTATTCTAATTTATTCTAATTAATTATTCATATATGGGTCACTTATAAAAAAATATTACAATATCAAATAAAGTAAAAAATTAAAAAAGTTTAATCACACAAATAAAAATTATATTTTACTACTTTCAACCATAATTCTAAATATATTATTAATCTAATAAATACATACTTCTTTTTAAAACTATATTTAAAACTATAAATTTTATATAAAACATTATAAAATTATATAGATATATTTTTTTAATTATATAATTATAATTTTTATAATATATAATGAAAAATAAATTTTTTTATTTTAATTTAATGTATATTTGAGAAATTAATCAATTATAATCTATTATTTGAAAAACTAATCAATTCTAATCAATTATTTAAAAAATTAATCGATTATAATTTATTATTTGAAAAAAATTTCGAATATAATCGATCATTTTAAAATTTAATCGATCATAATAAGGTGGACATTGATATATGATAGCGGTTCCACATTAACCGCTATCTAAAATACGTTTTAGATAGCGGTTAAATCTACAACCGCTATCTAATCCTAAATAATTTTTTTTTTTATTTTGACAAGAAAGCAAAACTAATATATATATATATATATATATATATATATTCTAAAATATAATTTATTTTAATTTTACATAAAAATATTATTTTTTGATATGTATTTTCCTCGTAATTTATTATTAATTTCTAAAAATAATTTTGTAATTATTTATTTATATATTTTTTAATAACTGTTTAAAAAAAATTAAATTTTTTAAATTTGTTTCCACTTACAAACACTTTTAAATTTGTTTTTTCTTTTAAATATATAATCAATGTTA